TAAATTACATTTTTATTAACCTTTTAAAAAGATTAAAATTTAAACAACAAAATAAATAACAAATTTGCTTTACCAATTAAGTGAAGGTCTTTAGCACAATGGAAGGTAATATGAGGATGCGAGTGGAGGCATTTTGGTTATTCGGCAGTAGGGGTGGGCGAAAATTGGTTTCCGGTGAAATCGAAACCAGTTTTAAAATAATTGAAAATTTTTTTCTTGAGTTTTGAGAACTGAAACCGAACTAAAATTTTCTCAAATGAATTAGTTTGATTATTAATAGAATTAGTTTGGTTTTTATTTTTATTAAATAAATATTAATCAAGTTTTTTAATAATATATTATATTTTATTTTTATTAAATAAATATTAATCAAGTTTTCTAATAATATATTATATTTTATCATATTTATCCATATTGCGATTTAAAAAAAAACTCATTTTTAGTTTTTAATTTATGAAAAATTCAATCAAAACTAAACCAAAAATTATTTTATTGATATTAAAACCGAAACAATAAAACTTAAAAGACCATTAAAATCAAACTAAATTTATTTTTTCAGTTCGATTTGCAGGGTAACCACCCGAATGCCCACCCCTATTCGGCAGCCAACGTGGTGCAGAGCATTGGGAACCATATAATATACAAGCAACAAAATCTTCCTTGGAGTGCGTTTATTCTTCCATGCCATGCCATGCCATGGAATTGATGCTCCCACGTTGCCTCTGTTTCCTATATAACACATTTCTACCAAATACTTGTGGTACTACTGCCAATATAATAATTCAAAGGCAACAGAAAGTGTACTTTAATTGGAAAAAGAAAGCAAAAGCCAAAAGGAAATCGCCCGTGCCTTGCCACTTCTTCCGCTTTCCAGGACCCACAATTATTTATCTATTCATTCTTTATCTGCTTGTCCTCTTTTTTTTTTTCCAGTTCATTTTCGTTTTCCAATGAAGGATGATTGAGATATGTTCCTCATTATACAATTAATAAAATTTACTATAGTAAATTAAAGTTTAATTTTAAAATTTAGATGTAAAATTGAAAATTTTAATTAGCTTCTTACTATTTTTGTTGGAAAATAATTTTTCTTTTTTTAGTTTTTTTTTTAAATTAAAAATTTGAGACAAGTTATATATATTTATATTATTCTTAAAATATTAAAAAAATAAAAAAAATTTATAATAAAATAATTAATTAAAATAAATAAATAATGATAAAATAAAATTAAAAAAATTTTATTCATTTTGGGACAAAGTGATTATCTGGCAGCTGAAATAAATTTGTGAAAACACTCCTCATTCAGTTCTGTTCCATATTTTTCAAAATCATTTTTTTTCTGGCCCAGAATATAATGGGTCAATATACCCAAGAAACATGACCAAGTCGTTCAAGGCCTATTCTCTTGAAGGCCCCAGAGGCCTATGAAGGAGTTGGAAAAACATGCCCCATTTAACAAAGATGGGCCTGATTTAAGTCCCGAAAGATATTAATTTTAACTTATAAGCGCCTTCAAGACCATGATGATTGGAAGTGTAGTTACGAACATTCATAATTTTTAAAGTCACTTAATTTTATTTAATTTAAACTTTAAAAATTAATTAATATGTGATAAAATAATTAAAAATAATTATTTAATATTTTTTATTTTAAATTAGATAATAAAAAATAATTTTTTCTCATCCCTTGATATATCTCATTTGTCATATAATTCAAATTCAATAAAAAAATTATTATTAAATTATTTAAATAGTGGATGATTATTTAATAAATTAAAATTAATTTATAAACTAATATTTTTATATATAAGAACTAAATAATTTTTACAAAATTGGAAATTGTGAATGCCATAGTCGACACTCCATGATTGAGGGGTCCATTATACTAGTCAACAAAAATATTGCTTGGTCCCGAAGACCCATTCAAAGAACCAAATGTTTTGCTAATGTGTACGTATGAAAAATTAATTTCCATCAACACCAAGTGGCCCAAACCAGGTCCATTATGTTATGTGAGTCCACTCGGATTGTGCATGAAGTTATCTTTTGCCAGCATATGGGAGCAGTCAGTTTGACTCATTGGCAAAGTAATCAATACCGTACTGACATGTATATTGGTTTTGTTATTGAAACGGTTCGTACTGAATATTGAAATTTTTCGCGTACCGTTTCGGATTTATCGCTATAAATATATATTTTTATAAATTAAATATCAAATTTTAAAATAAAATAAGATATATTAATATTTAAAACTATTATATTTTTATAAATTAAAAATAAGTTTAAAATAATTTTTAATCCCTTAACTTTTAATATATACATATTTTTTGTCTATCTATTTTAAATTAAAAGATTAAAAATGTGTGTATTTAAAAAAACTTAATGGAATAATTAATAGAAAGATTAAAAAAAATATAAAGAATGGATTAAAAAAGTATATAAAAAAACTAAAGGATGAAAATTATATAAAATATCAAAATTGAGAACTAAAAATGAAATTTGCTCTTTTGAAATTTGAATTGATTTGAATTGTAACAGGCAACTGAAAAAATGGCAGATAAGACAGCTGGACGCGAGAACAGAGGAGGATTTACGTGATCAAAATTACAGGGCTGGCCAAAACGAAGTCGTTTTGGCTAGGAAATCTTTTTTTTTTTTAATTCTTGCATATTATACCGGTTAAATTTTGATGTACCGGTTGGTATTTTGAAATTTCGTCCGGTACACTGAAATTTGACCAAAATCACCAAATTTTGACTGAAATAAAATTCATTCTTATTTCGTTTCGGTCTACTCTAAAATTCGGTATGTACCGACTGTACCAGCAAATACAAAACGGTATTTACTTCTTTGCGGTCATTGGACTAATTTTCTTAGACGAATCTCACATGTTATTACCTAACTTCGCTAAATTTAACATTTCAGTCATACAGCTTAATAATTAAACAGATTGATCACTAAAAGAAAAACCAAACAGAAAATTTTGATGATAATTACAAAGTAAAGCTGACTGCCATGTTTCTATCTTTCTAGTAAAAAAAAAAAAACTAATGTTGCTTTTTTTGACATTAAATAAAATCATCGTTTTTTTGCTGTTGGTTTTTTAGTTTAGTAACCAAATAAATTTGGGTACTAAAACGTAAGAGATAAAGAGTTGGGTAACCAAAGCGTTGAATCTATCAAAGTTACGTGACTACCAGGACATTCACCCTCTTATTTGATTTATTTATTATTTTTTTGGTTGCATGCCTCTCTTGACTTTTCTAACATGGAATACATAAATATAGATCTGACTGCCGAGATGGAAGAAATCACAAAAATTAAAGGTGTTAAGGTATTGATATCCAACATGTATGTAACGAGGCCTCTGTCCATGTACAAGAAGTCACCGGATTCCCTTTTTTCACCTCCGCCAGACGGTCCCAACTCCGGTATTCTGGTGGTTCAAGACGATGAAGCCGCGTCCGTGTGTTGTTTAGGGCTGTTCAAGACTAGTTACCTTCAGGGCCTGCCATTACCTCAGAACAAGAAGCTTGAGATTAGCTATGTAGCCGGAGTTGAGGAAACCAAAACCCTTCATTTCCTGGATGTCGTCTTCATCCCGGTTCTCGATCAGCCTTTGTCTTCCAATCGGTACTATGCCATTAAACCACATGGCATGCAAAAAGGGTAATTTAATTCATTGCTCTATCTCTCTGCAAAGTCATGAAGGAAAAACGGGTTTCATTCTAATTTCTCAAATTGGATTTCAGGAAGGCATATACAAGTTCGAAAGTTGAAGATGCAGACACTTGCTGTTTCTTTGACTCGGCTCGAGATGTAGCACCAGAGCCTCTTGATCCAAGAAACCCATATCAACAGTTTGAAATTTCCATCCCCAGAATGACTCTCAACATTGGGGGCAGTTATACGGCCAAATCTATGGCTACGGATGGAATTCCGCCGACATTTCTGCGGAAGAGAGGATGGCAAGCCAATGCCCCAGCTCCCCAAGAATACGAATTAGGGGAAGCACTAGGAATTGACACCGCCCTGCGTGCCCGCCTTCCCGGGTTTGACTTCTCCATATCAAGCAAGGGCCCTGAACCTGTGGTGGTCGGAAAATGGTACTGTCCTTTCGTGTTTGTTAGGGAAGAGCCACTGAAGCTTAGGACGAGTAGATCAATTTACTATGAAATGACACTGGAGCAGAAATGGGAGCGGATCTTTACATGTAAGAATGATGATAGCAAGAGCAGGGCGGTGGTGGAGGTGGATGTTGTTGTTAAGAATGAGGTGGTTTGTGTTGGGGGAAGGGAGGTTTTGGAGGAGGAGAGAAATTTGGCCGGTGGGTTTATGTGGCTAAGGGGCGGCGGCTATGGTGGAGGAGATAATAGTTTGGGACTGAGCATGGCTATTGTGGAGAGGATTAGGTGGGAGGAAGAAAGAGTAGGATGGATTGGTGGGAATGAGAAAGAAGTGAATGTGAAGAGAGTGGAGGAGGTTGGAGGGATTGGTCAGTGGACCAAGTTTGATGTCTACGTTTTAATGGAGAGATTTGTGTTGAAAAGAATGGACGGGAGCTTGGTATTAACCTATGACTTCAGGCACATTCATCAGATCCGGACTAAATTGGAATAAACAAAAGGTAGGAGGAGTTTTCTTTTCTTATCCTTTTGGTTTATTAAGTGAAAATGTCTCTGAACCAAGCGCCTCAAGCCTATGCTAAAGAAAAAAGGTTGCTACATGAATTCATTCATCCTGGATAAGGTAGTTCATGAATTCTTCTTCTTCTTCTTTTGATCAAAGCACCAATTGATGCTCCTCTTACACTAATCACTGCTCTTGCCATAAAAGGCTCTTATAGGAGTTCTCAAACATTAGAGAAACTGTATTATTGTCGTATATTAAATATCTGTTATTACATGTCATAAATATCATGTTGTCTCAAGTAAATAGCTCTGTTTAGGAATTCCTAATGCACTAACTCTTGGAAGTATATTTTCTATTTTTTGATTTTTTTTTTATGGGAAACATTCTATTTCCTACTCTTATCAATGACAGCCTTTCTTGGTGTTTTAGTAAGCATATTTTTATGAACTAAGGTGCATTTTCTTTCTTTTTTTGTTGTTTTTAATGGATCATTATTTCAAGAAAAAGAAAATACCTGTTACTTTCCTGGCTTTTTACATTACAAATCTTTTCTTTTTTAAGGCAAATGATCTTATTTGGACCAACAAGAAAAGGAAAGATAATAAGAAATTAATTTTTAAGTATAAATGCTTTGGAAATAGTAATAATTAGATAAACATTTTATCCTTGTTCAAAAGGTAATTAAACCCTCAACTCAGAAGATGAAATCATGTACCTAGCAGTGTGAGGAAAAGAAAAGGAAAGAAAGTACCTGTCATATGTAACTAAAAACCCACACATCAAATTCAAAAACCCATCTTTGAATTCAATTTGATTACATTCTGGATTGAAAAATGCAGAAAATTTGAAAATTGTAAGATGGATTCTTTATCGTAGAGGCGGTCCAAGCTGAATCCTCTTCCTTGCCCCCAAACTCTAATTACCACCCATATAAACCACTACAAGGTATAGGGATAGTTTCTGGTAG